GTGTGTGTGTGTGTGTGTTTGTGTTTGTGTGTGTGTGGTTCTCTGTGGGTGTGCATTTGGCTTATTATGCGAACAATAAGAAAATGGTTCTGTCTCTGTGTAAAATTATATCAGTTGTTTAACTGGCCAAAAGTTTATCACATATAATTGGTCAATCAATTAAAGTTTTAAATGGAACAAAGCTCTAAAATATATTTGGTGTTCATCTGCTTACACCACATACATAACTCAATTCAGAAATACACTTTGGGTGGTGCTGAGTTTGGCATCTACCTTTTGGCACTTTGGATACAATTAGGATTTTTGTTCACAGTTGTTTATAGACATACAATATTTGTATAAACCACTCATGTGTGTGAACGTGTTTGTTTGTTTTTACACCTCTGACCACTTGGTGTATCCTTATTCTGAGGTAATTGATAACGTTTTTTAAAGCAGGTCATGTAATCAAGTTCAGGCACTTCTGCTTTGTAAAACAAACAGTGTTTACTGTGCCTCAGTCCATGCCCTGAATATGATTATGTACTTTTTTGGAACATTTTTATTTATTGTAAATGAGAAGGAGATAATGTTCTCTGCTACAACAACCTCTGAGCTGTATAATAAATCAAACTTTTACTGAAATACAGAAAGTGAAGTAGCAATACCTCAGCCCAAAAATACACCATTGCAAGCAGGGCTCTCGACATTATAAATGGCCCGCTGGCCCGGAAGCACTATTTAGACACCCCGGGCCAGCATAACGTACTTTCCACTTGCCCGCTCGGGCCACTAAAAATATTGCTTTAAAAAAAAAAAATGGTCCTGTGGTATTGGTATTTTGACTAGCAATTTAGTTAAATTGTTTCGTTTATTAACGCTACAACATAGCGTTTCGTGCGGCGGTTGTCGTTGTTGGGTGAAAAGCAAACAGCTGTTTGCTGCGGAGCGCAGCGCGAGCAGGCTCCCGTGAGCGGCAGCGCGCTCCTTCTTCACTACAGACTATCGCGCCACCTAACCATTCGCCTAAATGTTTTTAATACCGGCAGCGGTAACCGGCCAAGCGCCGGGCAAAAAACAATCTTCAAATAAAAGAAAGTCACCGGAAGAGTTAAAGGAGAGTGACAGGGAGTATGAGAAGAAGAGGGAGAGAAAGTTTCAGCCAGCTTGATCGATGGAGTTGGCTTCAATACGATGCCAATATAAAGGTCTTCTGTTGACTCTGTACATCAATGCCGACCTATGCTGACAAGTAAGTGAAGAGTAGAACATATAAAGGTATATTGGCTTCAGGGAAATGTCCCAGCAGGTTAGGAGAATGAAGGTTCTAATCTGTTACAGAGCCATTATGTCTCACTCCTGATGACAGGAAGCAGGAGGGTATTATACAAAATAATAACACT